AAACGTGCTGCGTAACACGAGAATGAACCTCATTGGTTCTTACTGAAGCTCAAACGTGCTGCGTAACACGAGAATGAACCTCATTGGTTCTTACTGAAGCTCAAACGTGCTGCGTAACACGAGAATGAACCTCATTGGTTCTTACTGAAGCTCAAACGTGCTGCGTAAAACGAGAATGAACCTCATTGGTTCTTACTGAAGCTCAAACGTGCTGCGTAACACGAGAATGAACCTCATTGGTTCTTACTGAAGCTCAAACGTGCTGCGTAAAACGAGAATGAACCTCATTGGTTCTTACTGAAGCTCAAACGTGCTGCGTAACACGAGAATGAACCTCATTGGTTCTTACTGAAGCTCAAACGTGCTGCGTAAAACGAGAATGAACCTCATTGGTTCTTACTGAAGCTCAAACGTGCTGCGTAAAACGAGAATGAACCTCATTGGTTCTTACTGAAGCTCAAACGTGCTGCGTAAAACGAGAATGAACCTCATTGGTTCTTACTGAAGCTCAAACGTGCTGCGTAACACGAGAATGAACCTCATTGGTTCTTACTGAAGCTCAAACGTGCTGCGTAACACGAGAATGAACCTCATTGGTTCTTACTGAAGCTCAAACGTGCTGCGTAACACGAGAATGAACCTCATTGGTTCTTACTGAAGCTCAAACGTGCTGCGTAAAACGAGAATGAACCTCATTGGTTCTTACTGAAGCTCAAACGTGCTGCGTAACACGAGAATGAACCTCATTGGTTCTTACTGAAGCTCAAACGTGCTGCGTAAAACGAGAATGAACCTCATTGGTTCTTACTGAAGCTCAAACGTGCTGCGTAACACAAGAATGAACCTCATTGGTTCTTACTGAAGCTCAAACGTGCTGCGTAAAACGAGAATGAACCTCATTGGTTCTTACTGAAGCTCAAACGTGCTGCGTAAAACGAGAATGAACCTCATTGGTTCTTACTGAAGCTCAAACGTGCTGCGTAAACGAGAATGAACCTCATTGGTTCTTACTGAAGCTCAAACGTGCTGCGTAACACGAGAATGAACCTCATTGGTTCTTACTGAAGCTCAAACGTGCTGCGTAACACGAGAATGAACCTCATTGGTTCTTACTGAAGCTCAAACGTGCTGCGTAAAACGAGAATGAACCTCATTGGTTCTTACTGAAGCTCAAACGTGCTGCGTAAAACGAGAATGAACCTCATTGGTTCTTACTGAAGCTCAAACGTGCTGCGTAACACGAGAATGAACCTCATTGGTTCTTACTGAAGCTCAAACGTGCTGCGTAACACGAGAATGAACCTCATTGGTTCTTACTGAAGCTCAAACGTGCTGCGTAACACGAGAATGAACCTCATTGGTTCTTACTGAAGCTCAAACGTGCTGCGTAAAACGAGAATGAACCTCATTGGTTCTTACTGAAGCTCAAACGTGCTGCGTAACACGAGAATGAACCTCATTGGTTCTTACTGAAGCTCAAACGTGCTGCGTAACACGAGAATGAACCTCATTGGTTCTTACTGAAGCTCAAACGTGCTGCGTAACACGAGAATGAACCTCATTGGTTCTTACTGAAGCTCAAACGTGCTGCGTAACACGGTCCTTGCACATCAATCTGTTCATCATATAAAGCGATCGTGTCTCTTCATAAAATTTGGGCTAAACCGCTCAATTCATATGTATTGGTTTTTTCTCTATGATCTTTTTGAAGTCTCAAAGTATCAGTTGCATAGCTGTCTATGGAGGGACAGAAATCTCTCAGATTTCATTTAAATATCTTCATCTGGGTTTCGAAGATGAATGAAAGTCTCATGGGTTTAGAACGACACGAGGGTGAGTAAATGATGACAGAACTTTCAATTATTTATATCTCTTTAAAAGAAAGCAAAACACTCAAGAATACGCCATGGGACAATGAAGATAATGAGGGGTAAAACAAGGCACAGGTTAACTAATAAGAAAGCATATCAACCCACAACCAAATATGTAAATAAATAAAATAATCTGTCATGGTAACTCAAATGTCCTTGAGTCTTTTAAATTGGACTCTTGTAGTGTATCTAAAATAAGCCAGCAAAAGATTACACAGCAACTTTGTTCAGCTAGTATGGATTGTTAGTTAGCAGAATGAATTGCTTGGTCAATCTGCCACCTATAGACAAAAAAGCACAATACAGCTTTTATAAGAACAAATGACACATTCACATTCACTTACACTGCTAGTCTTGCCACCTCTCTTCCATATTAAATTTAGTAGTGACACTACTAATTTTTCAGTGTGACAATGGACGAAATACATTTAACACTTCCAAATACAGCAGCTATTTTTCAGAAAAGCTGACTGACTATCACATAAAAGAATCAACGGTTATCCATTTAAATTTTAATGCATGACAAAGTAAGATTATAGATGGAACTAAATCAATAGTTTTCTGTGACTATACAGTAGGCCTATATCATTTGCAAGAATATTTGAGAATCTCAATCTTTCCCCAGGGAGAGAGAGACAGAGAGAAGAGAGCTAGAGGAGGAGAGAGAACGAAATGAGTTTCCTGAAGAGGAGATACAGCAAATGGGTAAAAAAAAAAAAAAAAAAAAAAAACCCATAAACGATAATGAACATTCCCCCTCTCCTTAATCTCCTCCATCCCCCCTCTGAGAGCCGGGAGTCTGCAGCCTGCAGGAAGGATGCTGCTAATTTCCTTCTTTATTGAATTGAGCTGGACACACACGTCCTGCAGGGCCGACCAGCCTCCTCGCCACATCCTCTGCTCTCGCTCCTACTCATCCAAGGGCCTCTTTGTTAATTATTCTGCTTATTTGTGTGACTCTCTGAGTTTCTCTCTCTATTCTTTTGCCATTTCTATATCTCAGCACTTAGTCTGTCTCTTACTCTGCCTTTCTCCATCTGCCTCTTGGCACTTTCTGCAAATAGAGTACAAAATAGGACATTTAACAATGAAAGGAGGAGCTTAACCCTAAAATGATCATCACTAGCTTTAGGAGGTCAAATTGTATTATATAAACGGTTTAATTTTACTCTACTGTTCAAAAATTTTAGGTCAGTTGGATTTTTTTTCAAATAAATTAATATTTTTATGCAGCAAAGATGCACTAAACTGAGACATCAAAAGAGACAGTAAATATTTAAAATCTTACAATAGATTTCTATTTCAAATAAATGCTGTTCCTTTGGACTTTCTGTTAATCAAAGAATCCTGAAAAATAAAATAAAAATAATAAAGCAGCACAACTATGTGTAATAATAATAAACGTTTCTTGAGCAGCAAATCAGCATATTAGAATGATTTCTGAAGGATCATGTGACACTGAAGACTGGAGCATCACAGGAATAAATTACAATATATTCAGATGGAAAACAGTTCTTTTAAATTGTAATAATATTTCACAATATTACTGTATTTTACTACAATAAATCAAAATATTTTTGATCAAAAAGATGCAGCCTTGATGAGCTTTAAAGACTTTCAAAAGCATTACATAATCTTACCAACCTCAAACTTTTGAATGGTAATATACATTCAAGTTTTTGATTTTTGCAACCTTTTTATGTATATTATTGTTTTTATGCGTTTAAAGCTAACTAGTTTTCAACCAATGTTAATGATAGATAGGTTGGATAATAGCTTATCTAACATATCTAGGTATCACAAAAAAAAGGTAATGGGATAAAGAGCTGTACCCTATTTTATAGAGCTTTTTGCGCTTTCAACTGCCAGCTTCTCTTGTCATGGCCCACCCTTTGGAGACAAAAACTGCAATAGGACATTTCTCACACACACACACAGACACACACACACACACACACACACTTCCTGTCTGCTCCCTGCAATTTTCGAAAAAGCAAACCCTCTCACACAAAAGGTGTGTATTCAAAACATAGATTCCTAAGCATTGTGTGTTTTTTTATAAGGACATTTTATATAAGAGACTCATGGAAGAATTTCACAGTAAATTGAAAGCAAATAACTGCAGTGCACAGGTAGATTCTAAAATAAAAGCAAATGTCTGTGGCACATCTTGTCTTGCACTGGCTTCATAATAACAGGAAAATAGAAGCAGTTTAGTGAAATCAAAAAGACTAGCTTAGACCAGTCTTAATGCTGGTTCAGGCAGTAGTGGTTATAGTGTTGCCTGGTTATGTGCTAGGAACAGTAATGCCAACAAGTGAAGTTAGTAAACCATCATTGTTATTTTGCAACCCTGTTATCAATATTTGGTCTAAAAATGCCCAAATGTTGTTTAAAACCCTGATTTGCATGATGTTTCAACAATTAACATTAAATGAACATCAACATGAAATACACTCTTAAAAATAAAGATTCCAAAACAGGGGTTTTCACAGTGATGCCATAGAAGAATCATTTTTGGCTCCCCAAAGAACCTTTCAGTGATCAGTTCTTAAAAAAAAAAAAATTATTTCTTTTTAAACATTTTAAAAATCTAAAGAACCTTTTTCCATTATAAAGAAGCTTTGATGGAATATAAAGGTTCCAAATATGTATCAAGGTTCCATGTTCAATGAATAAAGGTTCTTTGTGGAACCATAAATGTCAATAAAGAACCTTTATTTTTAGTGTAAAATTAAAATAAGATAAAATTCAATAAATTCAAAATTGCGTGTGTGCATGACTAAGTATGGCTTGCTTTTCTTTGTTAGATTGGTACTTCACCGGTGTTCTCACACCTCAACTAATTAGCAAGCTGCTCAGAAAACTGGTTAATTAGATCAGAACAAACTGCCATTCCTTCTAAATACTATACCAAACTAATTCATATCCACCCACGGGTGGCCAATATGACAATATGAGTCCATGTTACTGCATATTACCTGGCTGGAGTAAATGCTGAAAGTGCCTGAAATACCTGTCAGTAATGTACAACACCCACAATTATTACTGCACCATCTGGATGGACTGAAAGGAGATGTGGATGTCTGTCGGTCAGTGAACACTGAATACTAGAGAAGACTGCTTTACCTGCTCGTTGTTGTTCATGCACTGTAGTTTCTTCTGTTTCAGGTAGGTTGTAGTGAGGGGCATATTGTAGTCTATGAGCTCGGCCGCCAGAGAGGTCGGTTGGTTGTTCTCTGAGAAAGCATGAGAGTTACAACAGTGAGGCCATACATATTTTTCGTGACAGGACAAGTCAATAATTCTGTTGTTATACCTGAGAATCACATAAAGAGTGTTATTTCTCTAAGATGTCACTAGAGGGCAGTATCTGCCCCAGTGTTTTCTACAGGCACACTTCTGCCATTGCCAGATTAACAATGCCAAATAAAAGGCCTAATTATATGAAATGCATATGCAAATTACATTAATATGCATCGAGGAAATGTATAGAAATTTAAACCCACTCTCCCCCAACAGCTGTCCTCCCCCCCCCCCATCAAAAGCTACTATGAGAAAAAAATCATTGTGAATGTTTGGAAAGATAATGATGATAATGCTTCTGACGGTGACGATAATGACGACTGATTTGTTTTTGTTTTTTTATTAATCTGTGTGTGTGTGTTTGTGATTAATGCACACATATACACTTAATTTTAAGTGCACTCACACAAAGAAGTGCACTTATGGTCTCCACAAGTGTTCTTAAGAGGGTCAAAAACACATTGCAAGGAATTCTCAACAATTTCCTTTAGACTTTGTAAATATGGAGGCTTTTTTAGTCTTTTAACATCCTTCTTATTATGGATTTTATCAGCTTTGAGTTAAAAGAGCCATGAAGCAACCCATTACCTGCTGATAATCTCACGCACACATACACACACACAGGCTATCAGTAATGGATGAGCTGTTTGCTGTGTATTGATTAACCTCATTTTCTCATTTCATATGGATTTAACACAATAAACAAAAGAAAAACTGTTCCTGCAGGAACTAGATCATCACTAAACCAACATAACAATGGTTAAAGACAAAAGTGGTTCTCTTACGAGAGTATCTCTCGTACTGCGTAATAGCTTTACGCTAGGGGAAAACTCTTTTCCACGAGATATTGAAGCCAAAAATTATCCTTAATTTTTTATTAATGTAAAACGCTTTGCAGCAGCAAGCAGACATAGGCGAAACCAGCTTGTACCAGCCTAACAAGCATATTTATAAGGTGAGACCACGCCCTTTCTGGCGGGACGTGACGATATGGGCGCGAATTGCCCCCATTGGTCATTACGTCACGCAGAGTCTCTCTCGATAGGCTGCTGCATTTGCCGCAAGAGCAACCAATAGGCGCGCAAGCTGTTTCGCCTATGTCTGCTTGCTGCTGCAAAGCGTTTTACATTAATAAAAAATTAAGGATAATTTTTGGCTTCAATATCTCGTGGAAAAGAGTTTTTCCCCTAGCGTAAAGCTATTACGCAGTACTCGTTCCCTCTCTAGAGAGAACCGAGGTTACGTTAGTAACCGAGTACGTTTTCAGGCTTCTAGTTTTGTCAGGCTGCTAAAAAGTCTTCCTGATGAAGTTGTCCAATACATTTTTCACCTAGGCTGGAACTGCAAAAACTTATGATAAAAGCTATAATTGTTGTTTGGTCACTAATCTGTCAAAAAATGCAAAGAAATGCAACAAAAAAGAAAACAATGAAGACAAACAAGTCAACGTAAATTACTGAAGGTATGGTAACGTCATACCTTGTGAAAAAGAAGTTCACTTAAGCATACTTTTAAAAAGAGCACTTACTACAGAAATAATATACTTGAGTGCAAAAAGACACTTATTTCCATGCTATATTTATATTAAATGCACTTAGTTGAACTTAAGTATACTTAAGTGGGTCAAAATCATTGATTAATCGATTTGACTGCACTATTCTGTTATCTTTGAAATATGGTTAAAGACTGCTGTTTGTACTGACAAGCATTTATGGTCAATTTTATAATGATGGAGTTGCTATATTCTATATTAATTTCAAACGTAATATTAAATTACACAACAGTTAAAATTACAATCAAGTACTTTACATGTACATTAGTCAACACATCAAAATAAGTGTACTACTTTAAAGCACATTTTAAATATTTACGTTTTAATATGTTGTTGTGCTTTAAAGTTAAACTTTTAATTTGACATTATTAAATTATTTAAGTGTTAAGAAACAGTCATGAAAGTGAACCCTCAATAAGTACTCTTAAGTGGCTTTTTATTTAATTAATATTATATTATCTGCAAGTGCACATTTTCACAAGGGATTGCTAGCAAGTAGCCTTCACACTCAACCTGAGAAACCTAATACTGTAATACTAATAAAAAAATAAAAAATATCAAATTATACTAAATTGAAAAATTCTCCTTTAAAACACATTATTTTATTTGAAGATTGGATCAAGAGGATGTTGAGGTAAACAAAACAAAAAACAATAAATCGCTTATATTTAGCTATTATGCCATACATCTGTCAGCTAAAGAAATTACAGTTGGGAAAAATCATGTATTGACATTTTATCACATCCTCAACATGTACTACTACTATCACTTCTTCAGTATCTGTGCATAAATAGCACATTAAGCTGTACAACAGAAATAGATATGTGGATAAAAGAGCTGATATCAACCACGGCCTGAGTGTCAATTAAAGACAGAGCGGGTTTACAGTAATTAATTACTTTGAATAATTCAGCGCTGAACTTTCGTACGGCCGGCTGGAGCAAGGGAGGGGGAGGTCTGTGCACCCCCATGGGCAAGAAGCCAATTAGAAGCTCTCTTTATGAGCAACACCCAACCTAAGCCCGCAACGTTGACACAACACTGACAGTTCAGGCCTGGGAGGTGTTTCCTCTGTTTATCTCAGCGAGCGGGGCATTTGAGGGCAGTTCTTCTGATTAGCAACCCGCACTGCTGGGTTCGGACTAACTGGGAATGCAGCTTCGCCAAAATGACAAAATAACAGTTTTATCCATTCAATTCTCCAATCCAATGAACATCTCCCAATCAAATCCCTCCCCCCATTGGATTCCACCCACAATCAGAGGGATTTCTACACTCTCTGTAGAAATAATCTGGTTTCAGAGGCATTTTCTTTGTTAAAGGGCCTGTAATTGGGTTAATTGTCATGTGTAGGGAGGCTAGCAGGACACTCCAGTGACTGCAGCCTAATCAGAGGGTGTTGGGATGAATGTGTGCGAGGGGGAGGAGGTGTGACCAGAGGGGGTTTCATTAGCTTCAGGCTGGCACGACGGGGGGAGCTCGTTACAGGGTGGGCAGGGGACAAAAGGAAAGAGAGGGGGTTTTCTTAACAAAGACAATGAGCTGTCCAATGAAGCATTATAGGTATGAATATGTTTTAAATATATGGGAATGAACGGATTCTAGCTTTTCAGCTCTCTTTGGAGTCAAGATGATGTACGCAAACCGCCCTTGATAGAGTTAATACCTAAAGGTGTAAACCCGTCCTATAGTAAATCTAAAGTAATCTAGATTGGTCTATGTGTGTGTGTGTGTGTGTGTGTGTGTGTGTGTGTATTTGGTGTGATACCTTTGAACTCTGCTCCACTGGGGCTGATGTGCATCCTCTTCTGACATTCTCCACAGCTCATCAGGAAACGGGTCACCGCCTCTCTGGGCAGAAACGCATACGTCTCCGCTATCTGACACACAAACACACCATTTTAAACTTCACATCAGGATCTTTTAGACTCACTGATCCTACAAACTCAAACTCGAGTAGTGCCAAAGCTTAATGTATGGTAAAATGTTCTCAGATCAGACATGACAGCAACAATTTATAAGAAAGATGGAACAGGGATGATTATGGAAAAAAAAATGCAGTTTACAGTTACCAAAACAAGAAAAGAAATGAAACCCATAAATCAGCTGGGACTATTTTGGAGGTTTCATTTGAGTTGTACAAGAGATATGCACAAGCAACCATCTGCTGTATAGCTGCTATTACTTGAAATGTTAAAATGTATTGATTTTCTTTTTCTTTTTATGTATTTATTTATTTATTTTCATTTCTGGAGATTTTTTATAGTGGATGTGCACAAGTAATAACCTAGGTGCCATTATTTAGATGTTAAAATTATGATTTCTTTTATTTATACAGTCTTTATTTTTTTTATTTTTCCAAAGGCACTGATCGTAAAGTTTAGCTAATTTGTGAAACCATTAATGGTAATGTGATGTTGTTCAATATAACTAACTATAAACATATACGTGTCAAACTCATTATTTTACCGTACATTTTAATTGGTTACTTGTTTATGTATACAGTACTTATCAATATTATGCATATTTGAGACACCTAATATCTATGAGAGGTGCAGAGTAAAAATAATTTATTCCCATTTTCTCTTAGCAAAGAGCTGTAGAGAGGCAGTAACAGGAAACACAAGTGATGAATAGTTTGCAGACAGGGTGTGAATGCTTAGAGATTTTCTTAGGATACTGTCATCAAGTGGACTAATAATCCCTGAGAGACTATACAGACATTTTTACACAAACACTCACACCTCTCCTCACGTCACATCACGCTTATCTACGCTGTCTATATGAAGGGTGACACTTTACTTTAGTGAGAATGCTCATAATAGTCCTTGTCAAAACATTTCTGTGTCACATATATACAGAGAGATCCAAAAGTCTGAGTCATTGAAAATCAGTGAAACATTGAAAATGTCCATTGAAAAAAAAAAGTAATTTTTTTGAAAAAAAAAAAACATTTATATAAAATGTTACAAGTTTGCAATTCATGGAGGTCACTAAACAATTAAATAAATCAGTGACATTGATCATGTGACTCTGTACAGGGCGTCAGTGGTTCTTCCATTAAGCTCAAGATCCTTTTTTGGATCATGTTAAATCATGCTGGAGAACATGATCATCAGCTTGAACGCATGCGTATAGAGTTCATGCATCTTGTTCAATACTAAGACTAAGACATTCATGTTATTTTCTAATTTTTTGATTAATTGTTTTGCTGATACAAGTAAAAAAACAAACAAAAACAAAAACAAAAAAACAAGCATTTTCACTAGTAGTCTGGTCTCAGACCTTTGGACCTCACTGTATTTGCACACATTGAAAGATGATATTTGGTTTTATATTCTTTCACATATACACTCTCACAGCCAAACATTGCCATATAGTGTAAAACAATGCATCATTTGAAAGTTATACAGCATTAACTACTATCAACACAACAAATCCTCTTCAAAAAAATAATTTATGGAGTTGTTTATTCATCATCACCCCTCAAAGCTTTGCAAAACTGTATATATTTCTTTTATATTTTACATCTTCGTTTTCATGTCTGTTTCTCCCTCCTCCACCTTTCTGCCATTAAACTGGACAAAGAAAAAGAGAAAGTACACCCCCACATTGAAGGTCCCTCGTGTCCCTCTAATCTCCCATGAGGCTCTAACAAACCAGCACGGGTGGCCATAGAACCACAGCTGGAGGGTATAACACATGTATGTGTGTGCATTACGAAGACAGAAGCTGAACTAAACATACAAGCCCCACTGAAGCACTGATACAAGAGCCAGAAAAAAACCCTGATCTTTCTCCTTTCTAGTACCCTGATTCCTCCAGGAGATCCTAAGATGAGCAGGGACAGAAATCCTGATGCCCAGGAAAAAGCTCTGCTCGTGGCCCTGCCCTCCCCTCACAGACCAACAGCTGTCAGGCGCGAGAGGAACAAGGGACAGTGTGGAGGACACAATATATTTGCATGCGAGTCAAAGACTAAAACATACATCACAGAAATTATTAATGCAACACAACCAAAAACAAACTAATTTATGCATTTATTGGAGTAACGTGTGTAAATGTATGCGAGCGCAAACATGCACTTTTGTAGCTGTCCAAAAGAGGGCAGTAGCAGCACTGGACCTCTGCACAACCCCCACACCAGGTGAGAGCAGCCCATGCCACTCTCACTTCCCATTTTTCCATGACAGCACGTGTGATACAGAGTTCTAAAGATGTTCACCATCACCACCACAGACCTAAATACATCGAACTTATCTCTGCTTACAACAATGCAGAAAAAGAAAGATAGAAAGAAAGATAGAAAGGCAGAAAGATAGAAAGAAAGAAAGAAAGAAAGAAAGAAAAAAAGAAATGCAGAAAGAAAGAAAGAATGAAAGAAATGCAGAAATAAAGAAAATGCAGAAATGAGGAATAAAAGGCCAGAAAAAAGACAGAAATGCAAATAGAATTTAAAAAAAAAGAAATACAGGATACAAAAACATGCAGAATGAGAATGCAAGACAAAAATATAAAATGTTTAGAATGCAGTAAACACAAATGCAGGAAAAAATTAAATAAAAAATTGCAAAGGAAATGCAAAAAAGAGAGAACGCAGAAAGAAAGAAAAAGAAATCCAGAAATGCAGACAAAGAAAGAAATGCAGAAAGAGAGAAAATAGAAAAGAAAATGCATAAATTATCAATATAAAGACAGAGACAAAAATGCATAAATGGATAAAAGAAACACAGAAAGAAAAATGAAATGCAAAAACATGCAGAATGAGAATGCAAGACAAAAAAATAAAAATGCAGAATGCAAAAATAAAAAATGTTAAAAGAAAAATGCAAAAAATAAATAAATAAATGAAGAAATGCAATAAGAAATACAGAAAGAAATGCAGAATGAAAGAAATGTAGAAAGAAAGAGACGCAAAAAGAAGAAAACGCAGAACGTAAGAAAATAAATAAATACAGAAAGAAAAGTAATGCAAAAAAAAAAAAAAACATGCAGAAGAATGCAGAAAACAAAATGTAGGAGGAAAAAAGCAGAAAAAAAGAAAGAAAAAGTCCCACATAGTCCCTCCAGCTTTCATTTATCAGGTAATATGTATTCTGACTGATTCACCCAAAACTCACAGAGGCCAGTGATTCTCTGCTGCGAATCACACCAGGACAACACACAGCAGGAGTGCAGCACACACCACGAGCCACTCGCTTCTGCTCAGAAGACTCACAGAGGAAATAAATCAAGCTGACAGAGAACAGGACACTCTAAGTGACTGGCAGATACAGGCGGTCAAAAAGGGCCACACGGGGTATTAAATCTAACCTGCACTAGGCCATAAACATACTTCCATGACTGATCAGAGACAATGAGAGATAAGTTCCTCGCTTTACTCACCGCTTTATATGTTTTCTTCTGCCCGGCATGTTTGGGTGCTTTGGCTGGGTCGGAGCTGATCTCCACGTGCATGGCATAGATGATGTCATAGAAGTCCTCCACCACAGCCACCCTCTTCAGAGAGGAGCTCTCGGACCCCGAGCCCCCGTCCACACACTGAAATCAGACAGACGGGGACATTTCCTTAACATGCCTAAGCAACAGCACATGTTATACTTATACTCTAACTTCTAAACAGCCAATTTAAAGTCAAATAATAATTATCACTGCACATAATTCTGTCATGTAAAACAGCAGTGCTTTGGTAATATATAATTAGGGCTACCTTTGTTATCTTTTGAAATTAAACCGGTTGAACACAGTTAAAATCGTTTAACAAAGTTAATATATGTACCCGTTTTGACATTACAATACCTTCATTCTTTTTAGTGTGACTGGTTGAACTAATAGTGCCAGCACAGATGTCTGTGTTCAAACACCAGATTCTCGTTTAGCGGTAAATGACGGGAAAAGACCTTAATGGCTAATTTATGTATAAATACAATTTGGAGGGGACAACTGCAAATTGGAATTTAATAATCATCAAAGCACAACATGTCCAAAAGATCAACTATGAGCAAATTGCACTGTTAATAAGAGGACCAGAGCTACTGCCAACTGCTATGGGCAAGAGACAAAAATAACATTGCTTTCTTTTTTAACCAAACAGTAGGTGGGCCCCATTGACTTACATAATGGGGCCCACCTACTGTCTGGTAACCGACATCCTTCAAAATATCTTCTTTTGTGTTCAGCAGAAAAAGAAATTCAGACAGGTTTGGAACAACTTGAGATGATGACAGAATTTTCATTTTTGGGTAAGCTATCCCTTTAATTAATCCATGTACACATTTCATTTAAAAAAAAATTTTTTTTACCTTATAATGTTCTTCCAGTGAAGCAACAGACTACTCTCTACTGTTTCAATCATTGATACAGTACAAAGATCTTTTCCAATCATTAAGTCTGCGTAAACCTACCCCTTTTTTTCCAATTGACTACAAGATTGCATTCAGATCTTCCTCCATCCAATCAATAACCGTCCCGGTCCAAATCAACATCCGCATCTTCCTTTCCTTCCATCACCTGTGTCACATGCAGGGATCCTCTTCTCCATCCTTGATTCTTCACCTTCATCATATCCCCCACTCAGACCCCTCCACCCCCCAGTACAGGGCCATGGGGTTAACTAAGGGTGTATCAGCAATGCAGCATCTCACCATTCATTTTAGCGTTAATTATAACTTAAAGGTAGGGTAGGCAATTATCGGAGCAGCTAGCAATAGCAAGTTAGCTTTGAAAGCATGAGATCCTTTCCTTCAGTGTGTCTCCAAAGCCAAGCCTTCTTGAACACATGAACGCGTATAGCAGAGTAGGGGTGGAACGGTACATGTATTCGTATTGAACCGAAACGGTACGGGCGTCACGGTTCGGTGCACAAATTTACACAGAGAATACACGGTATAAAAATAAATAAAACTCGCGTGCAAATTAATTAATGTAATGCGGAACTACTGTTAGATACACGGGTTCTTTAGGGACACATAATCTGTACCATCGGCTTAGCTCTGAACGCACGTTGACTTCAAACGTTGGCTTTATACGCGCGTCCTATTCGCTTTATGGTGTGTTCACACCGAACGCGAATAGAGCGTCAAATACGCGTCTATCGCGACGCTTGAACATTCGCTCGAGTTCAAATTTTTCAACTTGCGCGGAAGACATTCGCGGCAAACGCGTCACCCAATTCGCGTCATTCGCAATGCCCGGCGCGAATCATGCGTCTATTCGCGTCTTTGCATTAACTTTGTATGTAATCTACTCGCGCAAATAATTTAATTCGCGTTCGATGTGAACACACCATTAGACTAGCGTCGAACTAGACGCGATAGACGCAAATTTGACGCTCTATTCGCGTTTGGTGTGACCGCATAATGAACAGGCTGCGATGTCAAGATTCCAATGCTGGAGTGTGTGCGTGCGCGAGAGAGAGAGAGAGAGAGAGAGAGAGGGGCGCGGGTGCGATCGAACAGGGGAAACATAAAAAACATACTCCGTCATTTTGTTCATACAGATCATTAAACCTGCAAAGTGTTTACTTATATTTGTGTACACTCGCAATAAAACACAACATTGTGCTTTTGTCACACTGTAAACTCTTGTCAAACTGTAACCTACAACTGTCACCGAACCAAAATCACACACACACAACACACACACACACACACACACACACACACACACACACACACACACACACACACACACACACACACACACACACACACACACACACACACACACACACACACACACACACACACACACACACACTGTTTTAAAGGCAAAACATATTTATCCAACTCCATTTCAAAACAGTCTGTGGGTCCCATCTTTTGGACATTCATCATATTGCATTGGTTTTCATTTCTTGTCCTCGGAGCACTAATCTTACACATTCTACATTGATTAAAAAAGAAAATCGAATGTGTTTTTAATAGTAGTATTATTTTATACAGAAATCAATTATTTAAAAGATGAGAATAATGTTACATTGTTAATTAATAATGTTAATTAAAATTAAGGAAAACAAATATATTGATCTGAAATATAGCAAAATAATTTTAAATTAATTCAGGTACAATTACCAAACATATCGCAAGGTCTTTTTGTCTTTTTATTAATTTAATTAATAAACTAATTATATAAAACTATTGTCAGTGCACTACAAATAAACTGGTTCTATGCCTTTATTAATAAAACTTATTTAAAAAATACAATGCCTTCTGCATTTTTGTTTTGCTTTTCCCTCCATTGTACCGAAATCGTACCGAACCGTGATGCCTGAACCAAGGTATGAACCGAACCGTGACTTCTGTGTACCGTTCCACCCCAATAGCAGAGTTTACAAAGCGTCATAAGACAGAGTTAAAATCGGGCAGAATGCAATGATTGGATGAACATTTTATGGTCCTATGCCTTCCACTGATGATATATACATATAAATACATTTAGACCACTTAACTAAGTGATTGCTATCAAGAGACTTGCAACCAGCATGACAAAAAACATTCCTGGAACAAATCGCCTACCCTGCCTTTAAGTAATGTATACATGAATCTGGATACATTTGAAAATACATGTTTTTCTCTACGGTTTGGCCCACACTCAAACAGTGATTTTGTCCAGTGAAAACTGAGCTTTTTGAAGATGCTCTCCAATGTGGATAGATTTGAAGCACTCTTTCACATTGTATATGGACTGTGAAAACAGAAGCATTTGAAAAAGATGTTGTACCTATTTGTCTATGACTATGTTATATACTGTTATGTGCCAACTATGTGCTATTCACTTTCAGTGTCGCTAAATGTTACTTTGTACAATCTCAATATTGCATTCCTGCAGAGATGACAGAAAATGTACTTTCAATTGCTGTCCTGCATCAAATCATGAGGGCAAATGCGTTTAGGCCATACATGGAATGCCCGACTGAGTGCAACCTGGACGCACCAGTAAGTAGTGGGATATTTTTCTAATAAAACGGCAGAGGAATAGAATAAGAGCTTTATTCTGTCTGGTCTCTCTGCATCATCTCAGTGAGTTTTAATTACGTTTTACGCATGTGCAGTAAGATGATTTAAGCTGGTTTGGACAAGAAACTTTTGGAAAAGAATTTAAAAAGCTAGTGTGGATGGAGAATGTTTTGAAACGAAAACGCAGTTTTAAAATGTATCTGTATTCAAATAGAAATAGCCTTATATTCCACCTGCAAATAATCATGTTACAGTATAAGAATAGTTGTGCACTAAACATGAATCTACCGACGTGGGCGCGGAGTGCGTTCTGATACGCGATGAGTCGCTGCAGTAATGTGACATGCACTCACACATGTTTACTGCTGGATTCCACTCCACTACATTAACTTCAGGAGATAGGACACGTGTGCCAGGCTCTGCCAATGTGTGTGTGTGTGTGTTTGTTATAAATTCATGCTGCTGTAGCATGATGCCGCCCGGCCTTCAACCCCCCCCCCCCCCCCCCCCACCCCCACCCCACCCCCACCCCCCTTTTCCCAGCGTTGCGGGGCACATCAGCGGCCTGGGACGATAGTGCGTTTGACAGCAGCAGCCCAACCACACGCGCCAATGTGGGACACAGGAGGGAGGGGGTCAGCACAGTACCTTCAGGCACGGCAGACAGGACACTCGCGCATGCCTGTACACACACACAGGGTGCACCTCAAGGCAGAGAGGACAGGATAGAGAGAGATCCCCCTTCCCCCAACGCCTACACGGGGTCAAAGTCACCGAAACCCTGAGAGGGTAAAACCAGGCTGTCCTGCACACACACTCAGAGCCCGACATTAGCATTGTCTTTGTGCCACTGCAGCATGGCATCTTGTGTTAAAAATGCAAATGCACGGATATAAATTAAGTGCAATCTTATTGCATCAAAAGTAAAGACATCATGGCTGCATCTGAAATGCATCATGGCACGTGTGGATTTAGGTTTGCGTAACATCCTGTCCACTGAGTAGCCTTCATTCAGTGGATTTTTAAAGGCAGCAATGCATCCTTCACTGCCAGTGAAATCCCACAATCCTGTGCAGCATTTGGTTGGAAGAACAAAAATGGTGTCTGATGCTTAAAATGGTGTCTGAAAGCAATAAATGAGTTTATAAATGTGCATTTTTTCATCTCGTCAACCAATACATAAACGCTACAGTTATTTAGAATCTGCTTCTGAGAGGGTAATAAACAAGAAATAAACAATGTTCATCAACTTTTAAAAGGGTAAAAATACTTTTTTGTTGTTAACAAAAGCAGAGTGTACAATCAAACTCAGTATTTCAAACAGCATTTAGGGCAGGGGTGCACATAACTGGTGCGCATGAGTGGTTAAAATAAACTATGCGTAGCAGAAAACGTGGAAGGAAGCGCTTCTGAGTACCAACATTTTTGGGGACAGGAACACGTTTACTTACTGGAGTAGGATTTTTCCTCCATCTCTGGTAAGATAGCAATCATGATGATAAGCGTGTTCATTCATAATTAGGGGTGCAACGGATCGCAGTTGATCCGTCGCTTAGTATCTGCTTTCATGCTGAGCTTAATATA